CTATTTAGCAAAACTACAAATTATGATTGTTTTTGTTCTTATTTTCCAGGCTAATTATCTATGTAAGAAAGATAATATGTCTGAGATAGAGTTGTGAGAACATGAAAGTATTATTGACTTTGAATTCCTGGTGTGAAATATGATACTTGTAGAAAAGCAAAATGCTACCAGAATGCAGAAACTCTAACCTAATCACAAAATTAACCTGGAGAGTAGAAGTGTAAATGGAAATAGTCCTTGAATTTGCTAATTTTCTTCTCTATTGTGGATGTAAACTGGAGTTTGTTCTTTAATTATGAAACACATAAAATCATAGAATCATAGATTTAGACCTGGAAGGGACTGCAGAGGCTTTTTAAGTCCCACCATTCTTTTTACAGATGAGGAAACTAAGGTTCAGGGAGGTGAAGTGGCATGCTTTGCCTTTAGATCCAGCACTTTTTCCACTGTACCAATAACATGGAAGAGTATAAAGGAATGGAACTGAAAACGAGTTAACTAAGTTCACTTCCTGGATTTTCTACCATCTTGTCATATGACTGTGGACAATTCAGTGAACATCTCTGTGCTTTAGTTTCCTCAACAATAAAAATGAGGGCATTGCACTGGGTAAACTTTAAGACTCCTGGAATTCTAATATTCCATGATACCATCAATCCTATGTTTTCTGGGCTGAATATATTAGGACCAAGGATTTGAGGTTGGTAAAAAATCTTTTGTTTCGCATTATTATAATGTGCTATTGTCATCTTATATTTGTTTAGTAGTGACTGAAAATTGTGTCAACAGAATGGAAACATTTTAAATATCACACATTACATGAATAATTATTATAATTATTCTATGTTTAACAAAAATTAAACACAAAATCATTTTTATGTCATCACTATTATTGATTGTAACACTGATGATGTAAGGTGGAATACATTGACCTAAATATTTATATAGCAAAATCTACATGGATCATAACCAGAATAGTAGGCAAATTACAATTGTTTCTGTATCAAGCCTCTATGTAAAAGAGACAAGTGACAAGAAGACAAATTCATACAATAGCTTAACTTTTAATAAAATATAACATATATTTATGTTTAGAATAATTATTTTTGCACAGTATGAGTTCTTCACTCATCAAAAAAAGATATATAAATATACATATTCTACTAGAATGTGGAATTTCAGAAAAATTTTTCAAGAATTTTTTCTGCTTGATGCTGTAACCAAAAATTTAGTTAATCTAAACACTTTAGTCACCAGTTATTCTTATTAAGATTTTATAATTCATAAATAGGGAGGTAGGATTATTATATAAAGCATAAGGCCAAATAAGTTAGCCTTGCAGTTTAGCCATATAAATATACATATGTATCTCAAGGCTAGTAATATTTTACAAAATGCTAATTTTTTAAAAAGAAAGATTATTATTTATATATTTGGAGGGATGGTGGGCTAGTTAAATCTTTTTAGATTGGAAAAATTTTGTTCCATTTGCAAAGCCAAATTAAATGGTCTGTTTTTCGCCATTCATTTGGTTACATCACAAGACTGCATATTTACACTGAGAAAAAGAAGGCAAGATGGCTTCTAGTCTTTGTCAAAGTAAATTGTATCAGCATGTTTTTTTTAAATTACATTTACAGATTAGAATGTAAGCACCTTGAAGGCGAAGACTGTCATTTTTGCCTTTGTATCCTCAGCACCTCATACAGTACCTGGTACAAAGTAGGTGCTTAATAAATACTTATTGATTGGTCAGTTAGAGGGTGATGATGAGAGACTCTACCCTCCATCCCAAGAATAATCTTTTTCAGTTGAGATAGTGTCTCTGTATTGTATATAATTTGCGGAAATTATTTACAAGTGTCGCTTGATTAACTTAATTGGTAAGAGAATTCAGATTCAATGCCTAGAAATACTGAATTCTAATCTGAGTGTAAAGGAGGAGGTAGAAGAGAGCTCTCAGTCACATACAGTGAAACCTTTTTAAAAAGTCTTCCTTCCTTGGTGTCATGTTCCAAAGTATTCATACAATAATGCCAGATTTTAGCAAATGCATGCCATTCTCCACTTGGATTATATCATGTTATATGTTTAATCTTTTGCTCCTGCATATTGTTATGTAATGGTTTTTCACTCTATACAGTTCTGAAAGGAAAGCAAAAAAGAGCTGTATAAGTCTTTATTCAGACCAAATACAAGCCTTAGTAGAACATAAAGTACTTCTAAGTAAAGCTCTAAAAGTAAAGTCATTATTTTGGATAACTCTGTGTCAAGGTCTAGGCAAGGTGACTATGGTCCAATGACTAGGTCTGCTCTTTGTTAAGGGATCTTAAAGACAAGAACCATATGTTGGACATCTTTGTGTCAATACCATGAGAGTATGGATGGAATAAATGCTTAAATGAGGTAGTTGTTGCCTCATTCACAAAACTAACCAGTTGCCCAGTTTGCTACCAGGAAAGAGTTTTTCTCTTAGGGAGTTCTTGGACTTTCCATGGATTGCTCCTCAGGTGCTCTCTCTGGCAACTCTTGCCCAAAGTTGTACCTTGTTGGCTTAAATCTTTCGTTTTCTGATTTCCCAGGTTTAAATTTTTTCCCTCTCCTCTCCTCCCCTCCCCCTCTCCTCTCCTCCCCTTCCATCTCTTTTCCTACCCCCTCCCTTCCCCTCTCCTTTCCTCTGCTCTTTTCCCTTCCCTTTCCCTTTCTCCTTCCTTTCCCTTCCCTTTCCCTTTCCTTTTTCCTTTCGAAAGGCAAGTTAAATGCATTAACCAATGAAAAAGAATTCCTTCCCTCCTTTCCTTTGTAAAGGCAAGTTAAATGCATTAACCAATGGAAAAGAATTAAATGGTTGGCTTCAAGCAGATTCAAAGTGGAAGCCACAAGATGAATATATTCCATGATATTTTTCTTATGCTTTTTTTTGGTTATTTCACATTTAACTCTTCATTCAAACATTTCACTATATATATTTTTAATAGAGTTTCTTCATGGAAATACAACAAAATTTTGTTGGTATTTTATGTTCATCTTTTATATTCATAAAATATGCTCATGATAATATTCTAAGTAGTTAAAAATGAGAGGAAATTGCCACTATTAATTCAAATAAACTATTCCTGTTGAAAACCAGCAGGATGATTTTATGGTAACTTGCTCTTTCGCCATATTTTGTGTTTGAGTTCCTTATCAAGAATCTTCTTTTTAAGCAAAGTATGTCCTGAACTTTTGAATTCACTAACAATCTTATAGAAGTGCAAATATGATATGGAGCCATATATTTTTAAAGCCAGCCTGCCTTTAACCATGAAAATCATGTTGAGAAAAAAATGCATGACGTTGGTATTCTTTTTCCTGGGCACAGGGTAATTTCTGGAGCAATACTTAAAAGATTTCAAAATTGGGGACAAGAAAGTGCTTCTATATAATGGTAATGTGAACTACTTTACTTGCTGAGTTGCTGGAGAAGATATTCTTTCTTCCACAAAAAAGATGCTTTCTGTGCTGCCATCAGAGATTATGGCATTAGCCACTAGTAAAAACTTATCTGTGTTAGCACCATATTGCCCAAGAACTTATGGAAGCAACATCTTTCCTTTGCTAGTGAAGGAATAGCTCAACTTTTTAAAAGTGATAATTATGTTATTTACCATGATTCATTTGTAGGATAATATGGTGTATTTTGAGATTGGCTGTGATACCCTCTTTGAACTACTCTTTTTTGACTAATTTTTAAAATCACAGTCAGAAAAAAAGAAAAGATTGAAAAAGGTCTAGAGAGATGGACATAGAGTATGTTATCATTGATATCTTTGAATGACCTCAGAAATAATGTGGTTCAGTTTTTAAAATGATTTTAATTTGCTGCAATACTTAACTTCTAATCAGTGAATGAATTTTTAACACTATTTGAATGTCATGAATTTATAAAATGTTAGTGAAGTGTTTCTCTTTTTACTTATCTATAAATGAAAATTTGAGCTGTCCCAAATAACAGTTGTAGAACTGCTACTTGTGAAATTATTTTCCTTTGGCAAAGTAGATGGAAAAGATTTGGAAAAAAAACACTAGGGCTGGCACAATTGACAGGAATGTTGGAAAAAATGTTTAAATGTTGGCATAGGAATTCTTTAAAAATTCTAACTTATTCACATGTGAAATGGAAGTAAAAAAGCATCTGTCCTATTTTATGCACACTGACAAAATAAAAATGAACAATTATATTTTGCAAAGCATAAAGCCCTTTAAATGAAGGCACTCTGTCTGGTTTTTAATGACCTTTATATTATTTATTCCACCAAATTAAACTATTATGTTGGAGGGCAGACATACTTTGAAAAGCAGAGATTATAAAGAGAGAATGTTTTCATTTTTTCAACACTGATGACCTTAGCTGAAATATGAAATTTCTGAGAGACTCAACACTTTTACTGCATTTGAGCAGAGACTTTTGGCTCTTGGCCTATGCTTTCATTCTGTCCATTTATTATTGGTATTTTTCCAGATCCAATGGACATGTCTGATCAGAGAATCTCTTTTTCTGCCTGAATTGGAGTTACATAGATTAAATTGTTAAGTGTTACAAACCACAGTTTTGTTACTTGCCATATTTCATGTTTTTAATTCCACAACCAGATGTGGCTATGTTTTCACTGAAAACAAACAAGAGGCTTAGAGCAAATATGAAATTATGTTTTCCTTGTTTCCAAAAATTATTTTAAATCATTGTTTTAAAGAACAATGATATTTGGATTATCACCTAAGGAGGTTTTGTGTGTATGTATTAGTCATGGAAAAACATGACTATTTGGATCTCTTATTCCCAACTAACTGTAAAACTTCACTAGAAATATTTCACCCTACTGCGGGAATATTTACAAGTAGAGTATATTTCTTCATGTGTTCAAACATGTTCAAACAGAGAACTCAGTATGCGGTATCATAATTCTGACTGAAAGAGTCCACAGAGTACCTAATCTCCTTTGATCCTTTATGTTGAACAGTTCAGGCCGTGGTACTTGCCTTGATAATGAGCCTCCCAAGCGTGACTTTCTTTATCCAGCTGTGGCCCCAGGTCAGGTGTATGATGCTGATGAGCAGTGTCGTTTCCAGTATGGAGCAACATCCCGCCAGTGTAAATATGGGGTAAGAAGTCTTAATACTTATGCTTAGTGTACTGCTTAGTCATTTGTATATCTGTTCCTTCATGATGCAGCTGTTGTGTTAGGTGGTATCATTCGTTACGTGTTTACCTTCAGTCATTTGAGTAACACTTGCAGTGTAATATGGGCTAAGAAATTTTAAACTTAATGTTGCATCTTTTTTCTGATTTGCATATTCACCATTTTCAGATGTTTGAGTGATTCTGAGGTAAGCTAGCTCCTTTCAAGAAAGCAGGAAGACTCTGAATAGCTTCCAGTGCATTTATTCTTATAAGTATTAAAGTTTATGGTGTTTGAAAAACAAACAAAAAAACCCTATAGTTTTGAAATTTCCTTCCCCAGTTTTTTCTTTTTAATTTTAAGCTAACAGGCACTTTCAAATTGGCTAGAATTGTTTTAATTCATAGTTGTTAGTGAGGTCATTCAGCTGTTGCTTCACCCACTGCCCACATTCAAACAAATCCTTAGGCAGGGCCAAAATGACATGAGCTCAAATAAAAAGCAAACAAACAAACAAACATGAAAGATGGCTGTGAAAAAAATGTTGGCATCCAGATTGATTATCTTTCCACATCTGCCTTACGAAGTAGCAGTGTGTGTACCACCATGGAATATACAAAAAAACCTTGGCCTCTTCCTAAACTTTATTGTAATAAATAAATAAATAAATTAGCCTGCTTTGCACAGTGTTGTAGATGTAGAAGGTATTCGTTTTATGTTTATTGAATGAATGAAACTTGGGAATTTTTAAAAGTTATTTTTGGTAACATTAAAAAGAATTAAAGTTTCAAGTAGTTTAGACTAAACAGTATACTCATTGCACTTTCACCAATTACTCCTGTTGGTCTCTGGTACAAAGGGAATTCATTTTTAATCCCCTTGGGATGACAAATACAATATTATTCTTGGGCAGACTCCTTGCCATTTTGTGCAATAGTTATAAAGATTGTGACTGGTGAACTCTTTGAGATCCCTGAGTAGAGTTTTTTCCTATTTCTTATCTTCTTTAAAAATATTCACATATCTTCCTTAACATTTATTTCATTTTGTCGGCCAATTAACAAGCATATATTGAACACCTACTGTGTGAGGTGCTAGGAAGACAAAGACAAAAAAAACCCAAACCAAACCAAACCATAGAGTCCCTGCCTACAAAGAGTTTACATTCTATTAGGGAAGCAACAGGAAGAAAATTCACTTGCACTAAGTACTAGAGAGGGAACTAGAGGTTCTAAAGGAAGAGGTGAGAGGGGAATACATTCTAGGTATGAGAGCCAGCCTGTACAAAAACATGAACATTGGAAATGGAATATGACATATGAGGGATAGCAAATAGGTCTGTCAAACTGGAACTTAACATTTATGGAAAGGATAAGGAATAAGCCTAGAAACATAGCCTGGAGCCTGCAGATTGCAAAGTGCTTTCAATTCAAAACTGATGAATTTGTATTTTTTCTTAGAGGCCACAGGGAGCCACTTTTTAAGCTGAGGAGTGACATGGTCAGATGTGTCCTTTAGGAATATGACTTTGATAACCATGTGGTGGATAGTTTGGAGAGAGGACAGCCTTGTAGTGGCTTGATCAATTAAAAGGCTATACAATAATGTATTATGAACTAGGAAAGTTGTTGTATGAGAAAAGAGAAAAGGAAAAGAGGAGCTGTGGAAGCAGAATTGACAGGACTTGTGAAGTGACTAGATATGAGGGATGAAGGAGAATAGAGAGTCAAGGATGACTTTGAGATTGTGAAACTGAGTGACTGGAAGGATGGTCGTGTCCTTGACAGGAATTGGAAAATGAGTGAGAAGTATTTGAAGAGAGAGATGAGTTCTGATTTGGCCATGTTTGAAATGCTTATGGGACATCCAGTGGGAAATGTTTAATTGACAGTTAGTTCTGTGAGGAAGAAGCTCATAGGAGATATTGGGTTTGATATATAGATTTGGGAATCATTTACATAGAGAAGATATTTGAATTCAGGGGAGCTGATTGTTATCTTATGCTATTCTTTCAATGTGGATGACCCCTTATTGGTCTGTGAAAGTGGACAAAATTTTGTTAGTCATAGCTTACCTTTTAAAAGTTGAAATTAATGGACAAAATGGTCTTTTGAGATTTTCTGTGAATTTCATTTTTCTGTGCTTTTGCTTTTCTTTATTGTCAAGGATAATAGTTAATCTCTCAAAGAGTAGTTTGGAATGTTGCTTCTACCCTCATCTGTGTACTTAATTTCTTTGTTTTTGTATATGTTGATCTGTATTGTCAGTAAAACAGAAAGCTAGGTATGCCTTGTGTTTTTATCTTCCCCAAATAAAGTAACACCTTAGCTTAAATCTCCTATCTCTCCATGAGTAAAATTGTCATTCACAACAGTTTTAACTGTGAGCATTTAAATATTAGAAAATCAGGCTAGTTACAGATGAAGAAACCGAATGCATTCTATTTATATGCCTTCTGCTTTTTGTTTCTTTTCTTTTTCATTTCTTTAAACCTTGTATTGATAAAGTGTATACTATGTTCTCAGCTCAGAAATCAGATTAGAAGGCCTGTATAGATAAGCATACACTACGAACAAATACATGTTTCAACCATACCCACACCAATTTATTGGAAAACTACTTTCCTTTCACTCATATACTTGCCCAGAGAGCTACATTAAAAAAAAGAAAAGAAAAAGGCCATGTAATGGTGAAGAATCTAGTATGTTGGGTCAAAAGTCTACTTTCTTATGAGCATCTAAATATATGTGAGACAATTGCTACTGTCTAGTAAGTAAGTATGTGCCGGAAAAGCTGAATTGAACTGTATTTACACAACTGTTGTAGCTGGTAGATTTTCAGTGTTTAAATATCTTTATAAATGCCATTTTAGAGAACAAATCACGATGTCTTTCATGGTGCCAGTTCTATCAGGTAAACAAGGTACAACTTAGATAATGGCCATGAGGAGCAGAGAAGTCATCTGTATTCTGGTCAACACAGTGCCTGGCAAGTAATTGAAAACATTTCATAAATCTTTTAATATATCTACCATGTGAATGTGGGTGCCTGGAAGATCAGACATCCACTGTTGCAGAGGGATCATCAGAGCAGGCTGGATTCCATCCAGTGTATTCAGACTAGAAATTCGCCTTGAAGTTGGTGATTCCAGATAAGTTGCTCAGTCCTCTCATTTCACTCTGTCCTAGTGCTCAATATGGTGTTCAGGCAGGATTTCTAATGACAAGAGATGTGGTCCATGGGAACCACAGCAGTGACCACACTTATCTACTCTCTGTTCCTTCCAACTTTTGGTCATTGTGTGGTCAGTACAGTGGCTGCCGTGTACCACATTCATAGCCCTCAGAAATCCTGCTTGAATTCTTTACAGGAGTAGGTTCGCCAGTTTATATGCTGGTCAAATTTGAGAACTCACATAAAATATGTTTTGTCATTTCTGTTTATGGCAGTGTTCTTCCTTATTGTCCTAGAGTTGAGTCTTAGCTTTAGTTCCCATGTATTTCAGAAATAGGAGTAAAATGATTGTCGTCAGTAACTAATCCATAAAATAATATATTGTGGTATGTTTAGCAATGGCCAAATAATATATCCTTGCATTTACCTCAGACATTTTTTCCTGAAAAAAATTCAGAGTGCTTTGGTGAAGTGCTTCATTCATTATAGATGGGAAAGCTAGTGTACCAAAAACTTCCATTTTTCAACATCTCAAAATGGTTGCTGCAGCTTGGTCTGAAACCCAAAACTCTTTCCAGTCATGTGTTCTTTCCACTAGTTATAATTAATGTGCAAAGTAAATTAAGGGCACCATATACACCTTGTTTCAGGGGACAGTCCATATTTCATCTCTCTTTACCCAGCGGAAGCTGGCTTCCAGGGTTTTGTTTGTTTGTTTGTTTAGGAAATTCTTCAAGAAAACAAGCCCTGCTTCTATGCTAGCCATGTCTGGAAGAGAAGGGGAAGACTAGAGCTTCCCTTGTGCCACAAAGATATTTGGAATGTTCTGAGGTATAAAAATATTGAAGTTGTCTGATGCCCTGAATACTGGGTTTGAATTTCTTTGCAATACATTGTATGAATGAATTTCATTTTCTCGTATGTTTAGAGTTAGGGTTTCTTCAAGGCAGCATCTAAGTCCATGACAGCAGCACAAAAAGCGGGATATTACAGATTATAAAGAAATATGCTAGGCTTATAGTAGCTATGTCACTGAGTTTCTTAGGGAGTTTGCACTTCCTAAATGAAGGGGCCTACAAATAAAGTAATAGTATTGAGGTCATAAATATGTCCAAAAATGTCTTCTTATAGGTGTCAACTATTATAATACAATATACTATAGCCATGTGGTATTATATTATATAACATTGCATATATAAATATGATATACTATATTAATATATACCATATAATATATAATACATATAATACTGACATTAATGAGCATATAATATATAATATAATAATTATATACTAATATATGATATATAATAATATAATAACTAATATAATGAATATAATAACTAGCATTAATATAATATGTGAAGGCTTACACAGTGCTTTAAATATGTTATCTTATTTGAGTCTACTACTTCCCAAAGGAATGTGCCTGGCCTGTCATGTCACTTTTTTCCCCCTTTTGTTTTAATCTCTCCTACTAAAAAAGAAGTAGAAAAACTGAATCAAGCAAAAGCACACTGAAACAAGAACCTGAATTAATAAGTCTAAAGTCAGAAAGGATTTTAATGTTAAAGTAGTCACTACTGTGCCTGTGTGCTATAAGGAGTCTAGACTGTGTGGGTGATCTTACTGATGGTATACCAAAATGCAAAGTGATCCTTAAACACAATGGATGAATTCAGAGCTCAAGCTCAGCCTTAACTCTGAATTTCCTTGTTCTGTCAGTTTAAATCATGCTCCAAACATTGTTTCAAAATAGCGTTAGTGGTTCAATGTATGTTAGCAATAAACAGTGCATAGTTTACTGGT